ATGGGAGTGATATTGAAAAATCAAGTATGTCTATTCATATATGGGCTAGAAACTTTAACTGGTTAATCAAAATTGTATGCCACTCAGTTATTTAGTACCTGTATAGCTATTGCCCCCAAATAGCTATTAAATTTAAGAGTAGCTAACTAGTTAGAAGAATATTTAGGAAGAGAATTCTTAAATAATCCTAAAATAAAAAGCATTGTCAATTTAATTATACAGGCAATAAATGAGGTTTTAATCCTTTGGTGGTGTATTTTCTTTAAAAATGCAAATTTTGTGTACTTTTTTGTGACAAGTAAATCACAAAAGATTTTGAATGAGTTAAGGTAAGAGAATGTATAATAAAAATAATAAGAAGGTTTTACTGAAGAATGATCTGATATTTCTATATATGTTGATTTGAAATAAGACCTTTCCAGCAGCAGGGTTCATGGCTACCAGTAGCTCTGGAATGATGTCTTTAAAGTTTCCTTATCTTGGTGCTGTTTTTAAAAATCTTGGACAAGACTATGCTTATGCTTACATCAGAGTTTTATACTAACACACTACTAATCATTGTGTGTTGGAGGGGTGGAGTCATGGAGGAAAATAACAGTATTCATTTGGACTCAATGTTTAGAATTAAAAAGGAGGAGTGGTTTCTCAAAGGAAGAGGGGAATTGTAGGTTGAACAGTCATCCCAATTTGTGTGAATTTATACTATTGTGTAAATTATTATGTGCTTGTGACTATTCAGTTCTCTTTCTCTCACTCTAGTTCTCATTGCTACCTAATTGCTTATGGTTTTTATTACCATCACAAATTGAGTTTTTAAAGTCCCCAGTTGTAGACAACATTTCTGGAAGAGTATGTCTTATACTTTAGTGAAAATTATTATTTTCCTTTTTTAAAAATATTTTTTTGGGGAGCGGGCTGGGGATATAGCTCAGTTGGTAGAGTTCTTGCCTCACATGCACAGGGCTCTGGGTTCAATCCCCAGCACCACTACCAAAAATATTTTTTGTTGTTGTTGATGGACCTTTATTTTATTTATTTTTATGTGGTGCTGAGAATCAGACCCAGTGTCTGGCACATACTAGGCAAGTGCTCAACCCCAAAAGCCCTCTTTTCTTTTTTAACAGACTATTTTGGAGAATAGTTTTTTGGTTCACAACAAAATTGAGCAGGAAGTACAGAGAGTTCTCATAGAGTTCTTGTGCCCCTAATATCTTTTTAACTTTTGTTTTATAGCTTTGTTCAATTGCTATTATTATAGCATGCCTGGAATATGAGTGAATTTTAAACATTTTTGATAGATTTTGCTTTATTATGCTTTAATCTTCCCTCTTGAGACTGATGATTCCTGACTCTACACTCTCAGCTTAGACCTTTCCCTCCCCACCCCCTTACTCCTATATAACAGCTGTCTGATGGTCATCCAGATGTCCTGCAACCCTTCCAGCCCAACATGCCTACAAAGGGGAATCAGAATCTTGCTTCCCTCCTTCAAACCTGCTTCTCGTGTTCTCTTCATCTCAGTGAGGGTGGTACCATTCACACCATTACTGAAGCCCCAGATTTTGAGATTGATTTGATTGAGTCCCTCCTTTCTTATCTAACGCATCCAATATTTATGTCTTACTGATTGTACCTCCTAAATTCTTTTTTTTTTTTT